CCATTCAATGCTAAGACCCGTTGTAGGGACTAGACATACTTCTAAACAAATTTATTTACAGTTCCTGAATCTATTACCAAAAAAAGAAGTGACATAACAATGACTAAAACATTATAGGATTCATTATAGGGTTACATGAGGGAATGATCTTGGTTAACTACAAATTACTATAAAAGTCGCAAAGTGCAAAAGAGATTACAGTTTGAGTTTCTCAAGGGGTATTTGGGGGGAGTAGTTAAGGAAACAAAAAAAAAGTTAGGTGCTAGAGAAAATGTTAATTAACTTTCCCTTTCAATTCATATTCCATGCATTAAGTTTTAGGTTCTTATGTGAAGTGAATTAAAAAAATCAGTAACTCCCCAAACTAGAAGCATCAATTAGGAGAGGTCAATGTAGTGACCGGTCTTGAGCATCCTTGAGCTTGAAAGTTTTTACAAGCTTACGAACTTGTGCTTTAAATGAAGATGAGAGGTTACTAATGTTCCTGCTAAAGAAACCTAAGCCTCCTAAAACCACAAAGAAACGTCTCAGCATAACCTCTGTTCTTAAATTTGAACAGGACAAATCTACACTGAGGGAAAAGGCCACTAAAACAAGAGGGTTTGGGGTTTGTTTTTTTAAAAGTAACTACATTTCAAAGCCCGGTACAACAAGACCAGCCCCTTGGCTCAGTTTCGTTTAACTCTAGTTTGCAGAAACATACACTGACCTCTCAACAACAAAAGAAAAACCAGTGCAAAAATATTGAGCTAAGTGAAAACTAGGGCAAACAGACCGTAACACCTCATGCCATGAGATACCTGCAGGAAAAGATCTGAAGTATTCCCGGGGCTGGAGCTGTGACCTGCGAGAGCGCAGCTGAGCCAGACCAGCGTCCGGCTGCGCAGAGCATCCTCCTCCTCGCACACCTCCCCAGCCTGGCACCAAAAGGGTCGTCGTCAAATTCCAGAGTTCTTCAACAACTTTCAGAGACTCCAGGAAGGAAATTGAAAAAAGCATAGCCTAAAAATCCACCACCACTTAAGACTGACCAAATGGATAGGAAAAAGCAAGTGGCATTTACAACTAAAAGGAAGTTACTGATGGTGGTCGCACTGGTGTCTGAAGCAAGATTAAACTAAAAAAAGCAAAGGGAGCCAGCTGTACCCCAGGGCAGACCACGGAAGAGCCGCAGAGGAACGCAGGCTTGTGCCGGTGAGCTCCCCCCTGCACAACCTGCCCAACTTCATTACACTACGGTGTAAAAAAAACCCGGGTGTGCTGCAGCGTAAGGCCCCTGTAACAGCCGCAGGAGCCTTGCGAAGGTGGGGACCACATTTATTTCCATAGACACACCAGGCACAGACCGCACCTTGAGCCCCGGAGCAGGGGAGGGCTTCAAGAAACACCCGAGCAGCCGTCGGCAGCGCGGCGGTAGCAGTGCCGGATCCAGGAGCGGGCAGTACTGTTCCTGATCACCGGTTCGCTATCGCCTTACCCAGTAAACCCTCCTGCAGACCTCTCCTAGCTCTACCCACAGAGCGGGTCACCAAAGTGCCCGACACCAAAAAGCACATTTGGTTTTTTTTTAATTTCGCAGCGTGACTTGACTTTAGCACTGTTCCTGACCCAGAGGAGCTTCTGCACAGACACCAAATTCCTCCAACACGCAATCCAATTCACGGGGAAAGAATCTCCAGGAACAGTTATCAGATACACTTCAAGGGCACGGACACTTTCAAAGGATAATATAGATAAAAATTGCATAGGACCGAATTTAAAATGGAAGAAAAATCCCCAGAGAGCATTCTGATCACTCTCCCCATGAAGTTCAAGGAATGCCTCCATTTTAGGCAAAAAGACTTAACATGTTTCAAAAGTGGCATAAGAGAAGCTAACGGTGTCCCTTGGTCATCTTGCATTTTGTATGGCAACTGATCAAGTTTTCACTAACGAGTCTAATGCATGAGGACTGCTGCAAACATCACGGGCTTTGCTATCGAGACGGTTCCTCTACACGGCTCAGCCAACACCACTTTTTCCTTCGCACCCCCCTGAACAATCGCGAACCTGCTCGACCACGAGCTGTACCGCAAACAACGGCGACCGCACCTGCTGCCAGCGCAGGGGCCGGCGTACTTGGGATGAGCTTGATTCTGTTGTATTCTGCTCTTGAAAGAAACTACAATACTGTTTGTTTTAAAATTATTTCCTTCAGTCATTTCAGCATTATTTTAAACAACTATTTGTGTTTCGTGATTTACGACTCTGGCATGGGTAGGCAGTGCTGTGGCTGTGCAACTGCATCGCGGTGCAAGGAGCAGACGTTCAGGACCACGCCGGAGCCACCTCCAGAGCTCCTCGGGCTAGTTGTTCATGGGTACCCCATAGCGACAGGTCACCCCGTCGTAAGACAACCCTGTCACTTCACTAGGCTTCACTCTTCGATACCTTCTCCTTGCTGTTAACTGTTCTAAATGACTGGTTTTAATGCGTGTTTTAACACACTACTTCGGTTGTTCACAAACATTTGATTCTTTTTTCTCAGAAGAGGAGCTAACTGGGTCTGCAAGTGCCAGGAGCTCAGTAAAGACGGACTGTTTCCTTTTGGGCACCTTCCCAAGTGCTAAAGCAATTCTGAAAAGTTCATCTCACCTGCACGGTTTAGGGCTCTTTCTTCAAAAGTGTTTAATACTATTTAAAACTACTTTTACTCCACTACCACTGATTTCAGACATCTTATTCTGCAAATTGAAGAAGAGTTGATTTCAATGACATCTCTTTTCAAGACATCTCTTTTTCCAACTTAAAGATTTTTTTTTTTTTTGATTGCTCCTTTTGAACATGAGGCTTTCTTTCAAGTTAAGAGCCAGCATTTGTTCTTGTGGAACGTATGTTTGCAGATCTTTTGATACTCAAGTCAGCATCACACTTTGGATCATGCAGTTGCAACAACTACCCCTCCAACAGCTTAGAAAGCACACATCTGTTGAGCTCCCCGGTGTAGTTTATGCAGTTGAAGCACGTAAGAATTAAATCTGTAAGACAACTTTGATTATATCTCAGAAAGCATACTGGAGAAAAATCTACAAGCAATCTAGTAGAAATATTCTCCACCATTCAGCTGACAGACCATGCAAAGACTTGGATTATTTCACACAAGCAGGAGTGACAAAAAGTTACGCAAACAGGTAAATGGCATTAGAGACTATTTACAGGGCAATTAACATCCATGAGGAGTCCATAATGTCCTAGTGTGCGTGCCAGGATGAAACACGGAGCACTGATACTACTGACCACTTCATTCAGTAGAAGTTTAACTCATTCTTCCATGTAAGAGCCCCAATTCAAGAGGTTTCATGTCAAAGATTGACCTTAAATACTGTCAAAGATTGATCTTAAATACCGTAATTAGCTGACGGCTTACTTCCACAGAGCTCCGTGTGCTACACCAAATTTTTGCAAAGCTCTGCTATTCTGGAAACATCTCTGGGCTCAATTTCCATGGAACACCTGGATTTAGAAACATTTAGAGAACTGTATTATTATGAAATGCATAATTTTGGCTATTAAAAATATCAGAATACTATATTGAAATGTGTAGACCACGGAGTGGGGCAGAATTCACAAAATGCCAGAACACCAGTGAGTTTTGGAAAAACACCCCGCTTTTGATAGCTTGCCCTATTATGGAAATATGATTAGAGATGTTTATACTTTTCACCAGGCTGGTGCTAGTACAGAAATCCGTATGAAACCTCTGAACCGGCTGTATCGGCTTCATGCAAGGACATCAGCGCTTTAAATTTACTTTTTAACAGGTCCCTAGGCTGTGACAGACAACATCAAACAGTGATCCAGTCCAGAGCGCAGGTACGTCTGAAACATCACTTTTAAGTGCCAAAAGCTAGGGTGGTAGAACGCACAGACCCTCCCGAAGTCAGGGGCACCGCGCCAGCGCACAGCCTCAGCGGGGGCTCTGCCACTCCTGAGCACCGCGGCGGCGGTTCACGGTCCCGAGGGCGTCCCCAAACCCTCCGACAGCGCGGTGGGCTGCGTGGTACACAAACCCTCTGACAGCGCGGTGGGCTGCGCGGTACATCGCTGCAACGAGAAACAAACTTTTCTGCCAGGCCAGGTTTCAACTGTTTTCCAAGAATTAATTTTGTTAAAGCTTCCCCTTAAAACATCAAAAGGCACTACAAAAATGTTACCAGTGACAGATGGGCAAGACGCTATTTAAAAATACATACTTTCCCAGGTTAGGTAGCATTTCTCCCATTCCATCCCTACATATCTATCAGAAAAGTATTGCCTCTGTGATTTTTCCTACTAACTGTTCAAAAGAAAAATTGTCCCTTGATTGATATGTTCAATGAACAAATGAACAGAGTAAAATAACTCCAAATCCTAACTATAATATTGTACATGAAATGAAGACAATAAAAAGAAAACTTAATAAAAAAAACTGACCAGAGGCTTTTGTTCACAATATACATACTTAGTGGAATTTTCACCTTTTTTATTTGCTTAGGTAATGATAAATATAGTATTTAAAAATGCATTTTACTGACAGCCCCTTTTCAGATTCCTGTGAAAAAATACGTAAAAAGCTGGATTAAATTTGGTTTGAGGATAAAACATGTGGTTTCCCTTGCAAACAGGCTTTAACCAATACCAGCTATTTCCAACACGTTTGGGGTTTGACTAGGATAAAAAGCGCAATAGCGAAAGGTATTTTTACGCCGTCATGGTGTTTTAAGCTCCTTTCTGCAATTAGCCTAGTGTCTAATTTACTTTAGCAAACCAAAGCAGGTCACTGACTCGCTGTACCAAACATCAGCTATAAGTCAGAAGCTGCCCCTTCCAGCGGCCAAATGTGAAGCTAGACGTCAGTGCTCTGGTTTGGGCACTTAAATACTGAACCACATTATCTGAGGTAGACCAAAAATAAAAATAATATCACATGTTAAAAGATGAACAGAAGAATTCATTCCTCTCTCTTCCTCCAAGGAGCTCCGTCAGGCTTTGGAGTCCTCCTGCACACAGAGCTGTGAAATGGTCTTCTTCACGCGCAGGGCGGTCAGCCGCGCCGCGCCGTTGGCGTACCAGCATTCCCGCATTATCCTCCCCATTACTCGCAGCGCCTGCGCATCAGAAATTAAAAGACCAGGTCAAGAATAAAACCCTCACCTCCCGCTTTTAAATTTTTTTTGAAGTGCAATACTGGAAGATAAAATACAGCTCTCTGAAATGGTAATACAACAGCAGTATCATAAATTAAGACCTATATTCGAGAGAGTTCAGCACTTGGTGCAAAGATGGTTTTCTCTGTATAGATCTGGGAGCTGAAAAAGAGCTAGACAGCTGAAACACGTTTAAATTCAGGAGAAGCTGGACATCAAACTCCCTTTGTCTCACTGAAGAATTCCCCATCTTAATTTAAAGATGTTTTACAAGAAACTGGAAAACTGCCTTTACCTCACAGCTTTGCCACTGGTTTGGAATATTTGGTCTGAGCTTCTGCTCGCAAACTACCCTTCTCATATCTTCTATCGAAGGATCAGAAGGCACAACATCATAGTAAGGCAACTGGTATTCCTCCGTGATTCCTAGGAAAGATTTATCGTGTAGGTAACACAAAACCCAAAGTAGCTGCTCCAGAATAAACTCTGTTTTTACAGGCAATGCGAGAGAACAGAGGAACATTTGGGGCCACCTTGAACAACTGCTCCACAACAGACTCCCAAATACTGCCAAGATAAGGGAGAGTGCTTTTGCTCTATTTAAGGTAAAAGCGGTCGGGACTGCAAAATGAAAAGGCCAGAAACCTCACCTCCAACGGAGCACCTTCGGGCTATCTCCCAGTATACCAGCCCAAGAGAGTATATGTCTGCGCGCTTGAAGGACTCAAAGACGTTCATGTTCATCACATCGTCAAGTATCTCAGGAGCCATATACCTTTAAAGCACACAAAGGTCAATTTGCTAGAGGGAGTTCATACAAAAGACCGGGCTGCTGCGTGCCGGCGCCAGGTACCAGCCAGTCCTACTGGGAAAAAGGGAAAACACTCCTTTTGACGGTGACCCCGAGTGAAAGCAAGAGAAGTTGGTCTGGGTGGTAAATGCAATGCTGAGAAAGTCTGAGACAACGCTCCACACTGCGCAGCACAAGTGCTTGCTATGAACTAAGCCACCTGAAACCTCATCGGGGATGGCCAGGGACGGGCTACCAGTAGAAACCCAGCCTGTCCGCTGTTAAAGGCACTGCTCTCCAACTCTCCTCTGCTGCTCGTTTTTCACCCCCAGCTACCGACAGCTACGCTGACGGAGGCCGGCAGACGGGAACGGCTCCGCCCGCCCCCCGCCGCGGCGCTGGGAGCGATGCCCTGACTGGGCCCAGCAGCACCGGGGGTGACCGACACAGGACATCCACGCCACAAAGCTGCGCTCCACATGGGGTCGTCAGCTCCGTCCCACGGCGGGGCTGGCAGCCACCTTCCGCACCCACCCAGCGGGGACGGAGGGCTTGGGTCTATTGCCAACATTCGGCAGATGCCAAAAGCAGAGGGGGAAGTCACCGATGGAGGAAAGGGCCGAGAGGCTGAGAGAAGCTGTCCCGCGGGGCAAGCAGGGCTGGCGGTGGGCAGCCCGCCCTCACCCACCTGCTGGTCCCCACCCTGGGGTTCTGGGGAATGTCGATGGTGTTCAGCACCGAGTCGTGCTTCACCGCCAGGCCCAGGTCCGCGATGGCGCAGCTTTCGTTCCTCTTCACCAGGATGTTTTTAGATTTCAGATCTCGGTGTGCGATTGCTGGCTTGCCTGTTCGCAGAAAGTGCCGTCAATTTTGGTAACAACAGTACGGATTTTAATATAACGAGTAAGGAAGTAAAAACTGTTTTATTCAACTTTGTTACTACACCCTGTAAAAAAAACCACTGAAGTCTATTTTGCACCAAGTAAAGCTCTGCTAAATGCCATTAAATAAAAAACCCTTGAGGGCGTTTTTGTTCCAGTATCTGTATTTCAGCAATAAAACTCAAAAAGAGAAACTGTAAGTTCACCCTCTGAATTAATTTGGAAAACCCTTCATTAGCGCTCCCCGTTCGCACAGCTGCTCCCGCAGGCACCCACTTGAAGAGGTGGAAGGAGGCGCAGACAGTGAAAGTGGGAAGATGCTATTCCTACTCTCTGTTTACACTGTACCACAGACGCTTACCCTAATACTGTTTCCTGCAGCATAACAGTTTGTAAAACGCTTTATTACACCACGTCACCCATAAACGTTTTTGCCAATACCGCTGAAGCTCCTTAAATTACTTGAAGGCCAAGCGGGAGGGAAGCTCTTGCCTTGCGTGCCGACGATCTCCATGTGGAGGTGTGCCAGGCCGCTGGCCACCGACAGCGCCAGCTTCACCATGCCCTCCACCGTCACCGTGCCTCTGTTCAGGTAGTCGAACAGGGACCCTTGCTCGTGGTACTCAGAGACAAGCCAGAGCTGAGTCCACGTCCCGTTATCTGCCAGGAGGAAGCAAGATTATTCAGCCTTATTAAAAACAATCAGCCAGGGAAAGCCTTCCCGTTTCGTGGCCGGCTCAGGCACACAAACGAACGGGCCTGCTGGCCATCCCAGCAGGAAGGAGCTCGGGACAGCTGCGAGGTTCGAAGCGGTGTTTCAGACGGGAGCAGGGGCAGCGAAAGCAATTCTGAGACCCACCCCCGGGACTTCACGCACGACTCGCAGCGTACCCTTGTTATCGGCAGCAATAAAGCCCAGGATGTTTTCATGTCTCAGCATAACCGTCTGATAAATTTCTGCCTCCCGAAACCAGGACCGTTCATCTCTGGAGGAGAAGATTTTCACAGCTACATCTTCCCCACACCATTTTCCACGCCAGACTTCACCAAATCGGCCTTTTCCTACAATTTCCTGCAGGACAATAGTCCTCGCGATTGTTCTTTGTACGAGCAGAGGTAAACCTAGTTTAAACAGAAGAGATGGGTATTTGTGAAATAGTTCAGCAGTGACCTTTAAATCCCAAAGTTGGATATTTTCCAGTGAGGAGTAGTACTCATGACTTTGCTTTCAAAGAGTACCCAGAGAAAATCCTCTCCCAACCAAAAATCTCCCAACATCGTACTTTTCAGTGTTACCTTCCAGAGGAGCGCACATCGTGTCTGTCACTAGGTACAACCGACAATCTCAGTCCTGAAGCGAGTTGGGTGCGAGCCCTCCCTGCCACCACCACCGGGCAGAGACCGAAGACCAGAGCGTCTGGTTTTGGTGCGTGCCGGTGACAGCCTAACGTCTGTTAGTCTGCCAAGGGATACCAGGGAGACCCCCGGCCCTGGGGACAAACTCCAAGCACCATAACCCAGTCTGGGTCACAACAGGAATTACACACCCTTCAGAGGAGGGGGCAGGGGACACAAACAGAAAAGGTCTGAAAAAACTGGTGTGTACGCCATGGCCTGCCCAGAAAATAAGCCCGGCTTTGCTATTCTGTTGAGAAAGGAAAAAAGGCTGGCTGTGACCGATGCATAAAAAAGCCACGATGGACTGCAACAATCATGCACCGGCAAATGCCGGGGCTGG